GAGCATCACTCCTTCACTATTTGCATCCATCCATTCTAGAAAATCCTATTCGCTAAAGTCGTAGCTGTGAGGACTCTTTGCTGTAGTGGTTATACTCTATCAATAACATAGTCTTCATTTCGTGTGACAACTTAAATTTGCCCCGTCGTAGTGGATGGAGTTGTCTGGACAACCCACACATAATAGACGAGAGTATATCCACCTAGCTCTTCTTTTTCCCTTTGACTTTCTTCCTTAACAGATTGAGAATAAATTTATTGCATGTTTTCGCCTTGTTTTTATCCAAGAGTGATGAACTGAGGCAAATTTAAGGCTTTGACAAAATCTCCGACCTTCTTATCTGCAAATTGTGTATCATTGCCTGTCATGATGATCAGAGGCAGGTCATACAAGTAGATCAGTTTGGTTTATATAAAATTTTGGACAACCTTCGTAGTGATCCGCGTGAGCTTTGGCCTCAATCTACTTTGAAAAGTAATCCAATGCTACGAAGAAAAACTTGTGTTGTCCTTTGAAGAGTGAAAATAGTATGAGGATGCCCAATCCCCAGACAGCAAAAACCCAAGGGCCAGTGATCGGTTGAAATTTATGGGTCGACTGATGTTGCAGTGGAGTATACTTTTGATACTATTCCCCCCTTCAAAAAAAAAAAAAAAAACTTCAACATCTTTCAACAATGTCGACCATAAATACTCCTGTCGTTGGACTCGGTGCACTAGTGTCTTTCCTTTTGAATGACTCTCTCACTTTCTAGAGTGAACTCCCCGAAGAATGTCTTCCGACTCGCTTTCCTTTATGCATCTTAGGTACAATGATGTGGTTAATTTTTGGAAGTCTAACAATAAGTATTGAGCGGCTTCAAATTTGAATCTTTTAAGATTTGTGATCTCCTTTGCAATCTCTCCCGTCAACAAATATTTGACGTAAAGATCTATCCAGCTCTTAGCCTCCTCAATATCAACAGACATTGCCTTGGGCTCTTCAATGACCTGTCGGCTGAGTTTTTGTGGTGTCCCGTTCCTCAGGCGAATGCATCGAGACAATAGGTCAGTCACCTATTTTTTTCTCGACCAAAATGCTCGATTCTGAACTGCTTGAATTTCCAGATCTTCTCCTTAGCCTTATTAATCTATGATCATCACTTCGTTGTGGGTCTCCTATTCTCCATTTTTTTGGTTCACCAGTAGTTGCAAATCCGATATTACCAACAAGCATCACAGGTCCAATTTATAGGCTAGATGCAACCCGATCCCTAAATGGAGACAAAATGTTTGCCGTTCTAAATCAAATCAAATGAAGCGATCAAAATAAGCTGCGTGACGGGGGAGGCGCGGTGAAAATGAAGAGAAGATCCTCTAATCTTACAGCTGCCCTTCAATTCCTTCAACCACCACCACC